ATCACCAGCCCTGGATTACCGTATTCAACCAAAATGCCTCACATTATCCTCTTCTTACATCACATCATCGTTCGACTTGTGCCTTCTCTTAATTTGAGTGGGTCACCCTCACACGCAAAGGGAGACATATAAGCAATAAGATAAATGGGCTGCCGTTTATATTTGCTGTTAAATTCTTGACACTCCCATGGGAGGACAGGCGGACATTCGACCCCATTAGAAACTTGCACACACACACACACATTGCCACTGGAGGTAGGAGGGAACGCAATCGACAGCGTGGACGACCCTACCAGCAAGATCCCTGCTTGCTGGCGGGGTCGTGGCGGTAATGAAGGGAAAAACGTGATCTGTTTTCTCCAAGTGAGCACTTATAACCGCAGCCCACAGGATCATATTACAGGGCGGCTGAAACGACCCTGGAAGGTGACATTAAACGTCCGGTGCCAAATAAGTCGACAGTCTGTTTTTTTTTCGTGTGGGCTCAGAGAAGAAGTTGATACCATCTGAGATGAAATTTTTTTCAATATCATGATCATCATCATCAGCAGCAGCAGCAACAGCCATGGTCTATTCACTGCTGGATGAAAGCCTTCCCACTTCGTGATCATCTCTCAGTACCTGTGGTGCCACTAAATGCCTGTCACTGCTATAGCACGAGCTAATCTCGTCACTGTGTCTCCAGAGTAGTGGTCTTCTCGAGTGCTTCCCTCCTGTGGCATTAAAGTCTAGAACCGGCCTCAGGATGTGCTTTGCTCAAGGCTGCTTTTCTTCGTAATCAATATGATGTCTCTGTCTATACTCCAGCACTTTCTATCTCGCGGTGTTATTCCCAGAATGCATTCCCTCCCAATGTTCGTTGTGTAATTATCAGCTTTTGCTTCACGTTGTCCATGCTCCCAATCCTTACGTCATGGCAGGAAATTCGCACTAATTGGACACGTTATTCTTTAGGTACATAGGTACTGGAGTTGCTTTCAGTCTTCAACTAGACATTTCAGAAAGCACCCCATCATCATCCTGCTTGCTCTTGGTTGTCCTCTCGTTTGACTATTATTTAGCTTTGACTATTATTATTAATTATTCATGTGAACATTTTACACGTATGATATTACACTAATGTGTATAAAATTGTTCAAATTACAGTCATACAGTAGAACCCTTCTTAACGACCATTCCTGTTAACGACTAATCGCTTCACGATGGCCTTCATAGAGCCCAATGTGTAGTGTATAGTGTAGTGTATAGTGTAGTGTATAATAGTGTAGTGTATAATGTAGTGTAGTGTATAGTGTAGTGTATAGTGTAGTGTATAGTGTATTGTATAGTGCATTGTATAGTGTAGTGTATAGTGTAGTGTATAGTAGTGTAGTGTATAGTGTAGTGTAGAGTGTAGTGTATAGTGTAGTGCATAGTGTAGTGTATAGTGTAGAGTATAGTGTGGTGTATAGTGTAGTGTATAGTGTAGTGTATAGTGTAGTGTATAGTGTAGAGTAGAACCCCTCTTAACGACCGCCCCTGTTAACGACTAATCGCTTCACGACGGGCCTCCATAGAGCTCAATGTGTTCGCTTACCGACCATTCCCACGTTAAAGACGGGCTGTTGTAGGTACACTAAATATTAATGAATGAAATTATCAACCATGCCTCAACCCACAATCACGTCAACTAAACCCACACGTCGCCTCGTGTTGCGATCGAAACGTCGTGATATTTTTATTATTTTTCTATCTACGTGGTTTTACTGAAAGACCCATAGAATACTGCAGTTCATCTAAGTCTGGGTGCTTTTAAAACGCTGCACTGATTTCCGACGCTAGTTTTCATTTTTTTTCCTTCTATCATGGGTTCAATTTTTATTTTGGCCTCTGCGGATACTATCTGCAATCTACCAATAATCAACCTCCTATGTGTTGCTTTCATGCTCCCATGACTTGCTATGACATCTTCAATTATTGTGCGATGTTCTCTAATTTCTTTCCTCATTCATTTCCGCTGAGTTGTCTTTCGTGTTTTTTTATTCATTTGTATACCACACGGATTCTGTCACGTGCTTTTTGTGGTCTCAGATAACTTTTCCTCTCTTTTTTTATTTTGCCCCCCTACTTTCAATAACTTTCCATTACAATGGTACTGTATTTTATTACTCAAAAGAGGCGACATACGTTTAAATTAGCATTTTGCTTCTCGAGGCATTTGAATCCGTTGCTATTAAACCAGTCTAAATGTCTCAAACTCCTGAACTAGTTTTTTTTAAATGATGTCTTGTTTTTGCCTGTATTTAGCTGTTTCCTCTCTTTGGCGATATTGGAAATCTCACTTGTATCAACACCAACCTGTGATAAATTCCTGTGTTAAATTGGCTGATGACACAGATGACTCGAATAAACTGGGGTGTCCTGAGGAATACAGTCAATTTCGTTTCTAATTTCCTCATTCGGGCTCATTGGGGATCAATTTCCCAGACTCCTCCATTTTCGTCATGTCCCCGTTGGATGCAAACTATCAAATATGTTCTCCGCCCTCATTTCTCACTATGATACTAAATGCAACCACATCATCCACTCATCTCTTCACCTTTTATACTCATTTTCGCAATGAAGTAATCAATTATGCCACTGTACAGCATGTTTTCCTGACAATCTACTTGTATAAAATTCGTTATATGGTCAACAAAAGCAAATTAAATGCTAACCTCGTGATTTGAAAACGTTGTAATGTAACCCACTGTAACTTACCAAATAAAGAAATTGCCACTCCGGGTGGTACATGCAAGTTACTTACATGTTCTGGGCCTATAGGATTATTTTGAAAGAGGCACTGCATAAAATATACTGTTGCTAAGTGAGCTTTGCATCCGCATTGATTTATAATCCATTTGTCAATACACTGCTGGATGAAGGCCTTCCCATGCATGCCTTGTTGATCGAGAGGGTTGTTTGACCCTTACCTTACCACTCTGAATCAGTGTGTGTTGTAAATGAAATATTACAAACACATCTCTATTATGGGAATGCTTCAAAGGAGTGGAATTATATTAATGTTTTGACAAATCCACTCTGTGTAAGCTTGTAAAGTGAGAAGGTCTGTCATTAATATTCACATGGGTTCCCCTGTTGTGAACTCAACCGCCCCATGTAGCTCTCTGCCCATGGGAACCTCCAGACAATGTTTTTTTCTTAAACTACTAGACAGATCTAATCTCATCAGCTTTGAGTGCAATGAGTTGCAGGCAACATTTTTACAACAAAACCATGAGGGTACCGTATAGTGCATCACATTGTATGGGTTTACCGCGTGTAAAATTAAAAGTGATTTCTTGTTTAAATGCCCAGCATTGGCAGACGTGCTCATCTCCTATTTATAGACCTGAGCCTGTCGTGGAAATCCCGCATTCCTATGGCGGGGGTGAGTATCTCTCGAGAACAAAAAATATTGACTTCTCCACAAAGTGGTACCAATTGTATCGATCCACGAGGTATGATGGGCTGAGTCAACCCCCCCCCCCAACCAGGATTTGGGCCGCTCACTCTACTGCTGAGCCACCTGGCCGGTTTGTGGGTGAATAATGTATTAATTTATGAATAGCACTAACATCGTGCTATATCCGCCTACAAATAACCTCCTCTAGCTGTTCGCCTTTTGGTGTCCTCTGGTCTAACACTGTTTGAGACTAGGCTCTAAAGAAAGCTGTCTCTGGTGTGCACCAATCAGTTTCAAAGACAATGCATATCTGTCAGAGCATGTTTTTTGTTTGTATTTTCACCACAAGTATCTGTGGTTAATGCAGACATGATTCCTTGCAAAAGGTTTCAGTTTGGTGTTTTAACATCTTAACACCTCATCATGGGACCTCCTTTGCCAGAAAAAAGGGGCAAACCTATTCTTACCCTCCTCTATTGTGTTTTGTTCTGGCTGCACATTCTATTGTTGGGCTTAGAAGACGTGAGAATATGAGGGACAGAGCACGGGCAGCCCACGAAAGTCGCAGCTCCTTCTAGACTCGAGAAAGAAGAGAAGGGGGTGTGGGAAAAACAAAAAACCCACCCACAGCTCGGCTTAAACAGGAAAGGAGAAATCTCCTAACTCACACTGTACCCCGAAGCAAGAATGTGCCAAATCCACCACAACTCCAAACACACGAGCTATTTATACTCCGCGGATCATTGCATGCATGGCCACGGATCGTAAAAGGCAACGATTTGTGCACTAACGCTCTACAATCTCTTCATGTTAATCTTTTGTCTTGCATATTCACCAAGTTACTCGTTTGAAGGCGATGAGAAATATCCCAAATTTGCTTCCATTTCACAAAGGTTGACAGCATTTACATGCCGCTTATTATGGCATCAAGACATGTAGACAATATATGAACGAGCAGCTTTTAAAAAAACGCCATTGTTCAGAGGTTCCTCTATTGCATATATTGTACAATTGTCATGTTTCCCATTGACATTGCAGGTTATTGGATATGCAATGCAGCCTGTGATTTCCTCAGACCGCTGTTGAGAGCACAAATAGCTTTTTGTCAAGCTGTAACGTACGTTTACATTAACCCGAGTCATTACTTCAGGTATTTTCTTACACAGCTTTCATATATACACAACGCCCTGAAGTTAATTCTGTGCCTGTCAAGATATTGAGCAAGAGGCGACATTCAACCGTCAATTTTAAGGCTTGTCACAGTTCCAGATGCAGTACACCTCTAAACAACACCGAATGTAAATCCAATGCCAAGAACTAGTCCATCATGACTTCAAAGATCGCACGCGTAAATATATCTAGCAACAACAACAACAAATCAATCTACCCTATATCCAGAAGCTGTAGATGACATGCATTCCCATTTACATCCTGCAGCATTCACCATGAAAAGCATATCACACACGCACACAAAATGCACATGGACATTCAGCCACGTATTTTCGCGGTGCGACCAACCTCGCACGCAGAGCCACAAATGACCAAAAATGCCCTCTCGGCGTTCGCGTGCGCGCACCTTTGAGCTGTCCGCGTGCATCCACGACCGGAGAGAAATGCGCCGTCTCTGATGCACCGCAGCGGAATTGGCTCATTCAGCCTCCCTCCTCCATCGTGCCGCAGCCAGGGATGGTGGGTAACAACACGGGAGAAGACGAAAAAACGGGGATGGTTTGGTTGCTGTGGAAACGAGATGTGCGGAGCATATTTAATCCCAGGGCCGGGCAGTGTTTGTGCTGTGGCATTTGGTTTTTTTTGAGCAGCATGCAGCTGACGCATGGGTGGGTGGGGGGCACACGGTAGACGCTATTGGTCCAGACACCTGACCCACATTCTCTCTCGGAGAAGAATGGCTGAGGTTTTGCGCCGTGTCGGAGTCGGGAATAATGACAAGGGTTTTGCTCCAACACACGCACATGGCACACGGGCGGGCTGGATTAGTTGATCCAAACAACGCGCGCGATGCCCTTTCAATTGAAGCAAAGAAACAATGCAGCGGTTTTAATTTGCATGCAGAATAAGAGTCAAAGGGCAGCAACAGAACGAGCATATTAACTATTGCACAGCTTTAAAATGTTAGTTTAAAAAAAACAATATTTCTTAAGCGTAGTCATTGTCACGATCTATTTCTAGGAACAAAAACATTACTTGATAACAAGCTGTTCTACCATATCGCTCGATTAGACTTGCATCACATTACTTACTAAACTATGCATGTTTATAGAAGTAATTTGATGTGCAAATAATTTACATCTAAATGCATGTTGAGTGGCTTAATCAGCCGATGTCGGGGTGACGAAGTTGACTTGTAATGATAAGCAAACTACGAAACAAAGATTTTATTATCAAGAAAGTAAAATTTATTTAATATTTGTACATAAGCAACAGGGTTCTTTCTGCAACTTAACCAGTTCAGTTGAGACCAAAGCCATACAAAAAAGCATATTAAGGCAGGGTTTCAGCAAGGCAAGTTTTGTTCCCTGTTATTTTCGTCCCTTTATAAGGCAGGCCAGTTAATTATAACACGTAAAAAAATGCATATTGCTCTGGTTGCCATTAGAGATTTGCAGTAAGGAATAATACACTTGCAAAACATCTCATTTTTTAGTATCACACAGGAACTTTACAGTTACAATACATGTTCATTTATCAGTAGAATATACTACACCCAGTGGTTTATTTCATCTTAACAGGTGGTTGGAGTACATTCATAGCATGCACTGCTTTAATAACATTATTTATACAACAGCCACAAGTTATGAACAGCACTGCTTACCTGAAAAGGCAAATTCATAAAAGCTTTCATGATGCATTACAAAATCCACGAAAACAGCAGTCTTCAGGTGAATGGTTTGAAGCATTCCACGATGTTACTTTGCATATTTAATTACTGCTTCCACAATTTACTTAAAACATATTCCGTGTAGTGATTACAGCTTACGCAGCATTTAATTTATTTTTCGACATACAAATGAAGAGATCACATCACCTGCCACACTGATCGAGCTAGCCTGCCACAGGTTGCAGTCGTGAAAGTTACTTTTTTCTTTCTAAGTGTGATTCTGATTGTGGTATTAAGATTTAAGTATACTGGCATTTCAGCCAATTTCACAGTTGCTGTTTTACAGCCAATTGGGTAAATTGCTTAAAAAAAGGTTTCTCCCTTAAACAGCTCAGCTGGCGAAAGGCCAGACGAGTTTTTTAGTGTATCAAAATCATCCCAATCCTCCCACATACATATATTTAAATAGCAATACGTCTGACAAGGTAAACAAAACAGCATTGAGAATGTGAAAAAATTAAGGTTGTGTCAGTTTGCCAAACATTATTTTTAGGTCACGGTTAACCCACTTTTAATCTGGATTTAAATACAAGCTCTGTGTTCATATACTGTATCCAACCTGAACATACTTTTCTATTTATGTAGTGCCTGTAAATAAAGCATATTATGCATAATATGGAATGCCGTAAAACTATTCCAGTATGACATGATAACCCACAACATAAAAATTAGATTCACTGGACCTTAACAACCTTCACCAAACAATCACTAAAAAATGTCAAGTGTTCATTAGGCCAAAGCATGGCAAACCAGCAAGTCAACACTCAAAGGGCTGAACATACACGCAATTGTTCCTGCATTTGTACAAGTACATTTATGTTAATACAACGGTCCGATTCTAATTAAGTCCAGCAAGTACCATACTGTCCATGCCTTGAAATGACATGGGTATATAATTACAGAAATTGTATAGTTTCCCCCTAGACTTTATCATTTAAATTAAATAACATCAACTCAGCATTACAAATCCATGGGTGGTATTTAAATGAACTGCATTTTATACATAAAAAATATTAAAATGTAAGCAACTTACAATTTTCTTAGTTTACAAAATAAGCTTTATTTTAATGTGGGACCCTCAATGTATTAATTTGGATCACATTAATGTAACCAAAACCATTCATCACCTTTGATTTTATTTCAGCATGTTTTTATGAACGTATATAATATACCTATGCCATGCCAAAGACTACCAACGGTGAGCATAAATGAGATTTTTAAAAAAACGTTGAGCATTCAAGGAATCCAATATCTCGTTAAGAAAATTGCAGCTTCCATAGGTAATTTCCCAGGCACGGTGGCAACAGCAACTATGCTGTATTTCTTCACGGAGATCCTGGAAGGCCATTATGGCAAGTCACAGAGTGAACTATGCAAATGTTCGTTAGTGTTGCTGTTTATGCAATGTCTCTATTCGCCTCTGACATCAGCAAAAGCTACAGCGCTATAATCTCGCTGTCCATCAGGTCTCCTCCTTGTTGTGAATCACTCATGCTGCCCGCAGTAATCGAAATGGCTGCTGGGGAACTGGGTGCTGGGCTCGGTGCATCCACCACCTCCTCCTGGTTGTGGAACATGAAAGGACACTGGTGGATAAATGTCTCCAAGATCTGTTTGTACACACGTGTAGCCATAACGGGATCCACAACGGTGAAGTCTGGCCGCATCAGCGTGGGCCAGAAGCATATCGAGAGGTTCTCGCTCGTCATCTTGTTCAAGCTACTGTTTTGGCTCACTCTGCAAGACAAAAAGTGCATGGGGATCAGGATACACATAGAATATTACAAATTAGAAAGGAGGAAGTAAGCATTCATTCAACATTAAAACAAGGCGCGAGGGTAGTGCAGTAAAAGGGCCTTAATTGTATTTGGTCATTCAGTGTATGAAGAAATGTGTACAAAGAAATATGCACATGCTAGTGAACATACATATTTTAGTAAAGCCACTAATATACATGTTGACAACACGAAAAACCGCTGGAAGTATGTAAGATATGCATGTATACATTCTTATATGCTGTTTATGCTGGTATGAAACTAAAATTAATGTCAGTATTGCTAGGCTGTGCCTCCAGTTTCATAGTCTTTTGTTAATGGGTTTTGTAGTTTTTGTAAAAAATATTAAAAATATACAAACATAACATTTCCTGGCCTAACAACAAGTAGCCCATTTATACCTTGGAATAATTCAAGTCTACATAATGCTAAATATTGTGAATATAGTCAATTGCATCATATGCAGTTTACAACAATAGTTCTATGAACCAGCAGCCCAAAATGCACAATATGAGTTTAGGTTTTACTGAGCTTAGAGCTCAATTCACTCACGAATGCAAATGTGTGACGACGTATTTGAGGACCGCCATGTTGGCCGCAGGCAATTTCTTCAGCTTCCCTCGTAGCGACAGCAACTTTGTAGTTTTATCTGGTATGGCTGGAATCAAAATAGAGCAGATTTCAGTTTAGATTTTCCTCAACTAAATTAATGTAGCAATTATGTTATATATAATATTCAGACACTAGTTGTGCATTTTACTGTTCGCAATCATATTCCATTAACATGCAATACACAAAGCAAGCTTACTAATGGCCTCTATCAAGCCCTGATGTATGTCGTAAGGGATTAATGGTCCAGGAAGCTCGTTGAAGAATGCTTTTAGTGCCCCTGCAACGGCATTCACGTTGAGATCCATGTTATCAAAGATGATGTTCTGGTCTGAAAGAAAGCACACAACAAAATATGGTTATATTAAAATCCTGTATACATTATAATAAACACAATTTATTGCACCCGCATATTTCACGAATACCAAATGCTTGGTTATTAATTGTATCCTAGTACAAACCGAAAATTTTGGGAAAGGATTTAGACCAAAAAGTCACAGGTCTGCCGTATTAAAATGTTGCCCTCTGCTGGCAAAGCACAGAAAAACAAGTAGCAAAGCAAGCAATACTTTGCATCCAACTGTACAATTACTTTTCAAACAAATGACGTTACATATGTTGCATTACACAAGTTACTAATACATTTAGGATGTTGATTATGGGGCTCTTTCACACTGTTGATTTCAATCAATGGTAATGTTAATTTAGTAAATACAACTGACATTGTTTTGTTATTTAAAATTAAATTAGCGGCAAAAACGTCTCGTTATGGAAAATTCCACCTTGTGTGCTCACCTGCATCAAATGTCCGCTGAAGATTATCTTGCTCAACTTTGCTCCCACTGACCCGGTACACACCTTCCATGGTTAATCCTAAAAAAAATAAGGTACCCGCAATTGACAAGTCACTTGTTACACTTTGTCAATTAGCACCTGGCCCTCAAATGATGTTGCAATATCTGCTTAATTTAATTATGGCAAAAAAACACCAAGTTGAGGCGAAAGTTGTTTGGGAATCAAATGCACCACTGGTCAAATACGTTCATATACAGAGAGTTGACAACCGGCAGCTTTGTTTATGACAAACAAGTGACATGAATTAAAAAAAATGTGGCAGGTCATTCAAAGGGCAAAAAACTACTTTTAAGCAAAAAACATATTGCTGAACATACTGTATATATAAAATGGTGGATCATCATTAAGTGATTTAACAATGTTAAAATGGTAAACAAAACAATCTGTTGAGTTTTAAAGTGACCAGTGCTTCCATTTTAAACTTAGTACAAAGATTTAACTAGAGCAAACAATAGTACTGAGCCCAGCCCTTGCGTTTCATTTGTGAGATTCTGCTGGTCTGGCAGGAAATTCCTGTTAAAAATTCGCTGGCAGAGACGTATCAGATTTTAAAGCAACCTTCTCTCCGAGTCCCACTATTCAAACCATTTTCTCATGGTTCCAGGACTTTTTTCAGGATGAGCATCTCATCATTATTTAGACAAAGGTGACAACTGAATAAAAGCTAATACACAAGAAATAGAAATATTAATTCCGCAAAACTATAAAAAGTCCGCTTTAGTTAATGGTGTGAGCTCAGGAAACAACTTGTAAAAGACAATCACTCTACCCACCATTGTGATCTTTATAACAAGGCTGTTTTTATCACCACACCAGAAATCTACACTTGTCTCAGTTTTTCTTTAAGACCTCTATCAAGAAACTGGTAATACTGTATATGTTATATTGAGTAAAACCTTTGCAATAAGAAATTCCTCAAAATACATATTTCCCAAAAGTAAATACTTGATTTAGAAAATGTTCTTTTTGCCATGATATCCCTAAGTAATTAATGATGGCATTATTAAATGTAAAGACTATTCCTATGGTTTTAAGTGAAGATTGGACTAGTCACTGAGACATTATATGCCAGAGTTGAAACATTACATCCTACCTCATCGTATTTCATACCTATTGAACATTTAGTGCTATTTTTTTACTTTTATACCGCTTGATAATTACTCAATGTTACATATACATTAACCGTGATTGCTTCTTTAGAGTATGCCTCATTTTTATTATACATTGCAGTATTTGTGCTTCTTTTATCCCCCGTTCTGGATTGTTTAAGCGACTCGTCTCTCTTTAGAGACTTGGTCTCAATGGGCTCTCACCCGGCTTAATGTTTTACTCAAACTACTACAAAGATCTGTAATACTACAGTATACTAGACATGTATAAAATTATATGAATAATGTAAAGGTACAGCATCCCACGATATTGTACTTATCACACTTTCACAGGTTAAAACAATATATCTCACCCTTATCTTCAATGAATGTAATGCATTTTTCCACAAAGAGTGGGACAAGATTGTCTGGTGACTGAGCCACCTCAGTCAGTGGGTGTCCGAAGTAGTTTTTCCCTTCTGGTTTGCGGGTCTGCATGTGAAGAAACATTGGTAGTCAATATGCAGCAATCAACCTTCCACTAATAACACTTTATTGCATCGAGGTGATGCAAAACACTCGACATGCAATCAATTGCTTTACTTTTGGCATATGACAAAATAATGGATTATTAAACTTATCAGAGCACCAAACTATGTATAGAGAATAGATTTTTGCTGTCAAACGATCTCAAACAAAATGCCTAATGTGCTTAAGTGGATAGTTTTTACAACTACATTTTAGATTTCAGTAAAACATATATTCTTTGAATATGAAGTTGGTATTCACCATGTTATGTAATGAAAAGATGGACAAATGTGTAATGAATAGATATAAATCACATTTAATGTAGCTCGAAGTATGAAAACAAATGTCAGTTTTGGGCACATCTATTTTAAGACTCTTAAGATACAACCTCAAATTTAAATATATTTATCAACTGAGATCATGGAAGCTCAATCCATTCGGAAGAAACACGTAACATACAGATTTCAGCATTTGCTTTCTAACGTGAGAAAATATAACGGAAATTCTTCTGATTAAATCTTTTACTATAGCTTTTACACCATATAATAGGCGAGTAAAATTGCAGGTTAATTAAATTATTAAACTCACAATACATGAATCAAGTCTTATGTGAGAGATTTGATGCATATAATATGAAAGCAGTGAGTTCACATAAACACTGCATCCACTGGAGGCACTACATTCACATTTAAACAAATTCTCAAATCTAAATGTTGGCCTTGAATTGAAGAAATTATTTAAACCACAATCGAGAATTATTAAATATCTACTCGATTTCCTTTGAATATCCAAAACTTAAGCCAGTGACTAAAAAATACAATTAGTATGCACGTATACTCGTGGCATTGTTTTCTTATAATTGACTAAGTAAATGTACCTTTCTTCTACGCATCGACCTCTTTTCATCCACGTCTCCAGACTTTATTCTGTTCCATCGTCGCGAATGGCGGACTGATGGAATTTGTACATCTGGATCTTCATCACTCCCATTTGCGGGAGAAACGATAACCTCTGGAGGTGCAGTCCGCCGTGGTTTAAGCCTCTCAGACCTCTGCTTGTAAGGAACGGGCTTACGCACTGTGGTGACTTTACCGTCCAGTGGGAAAACATCCATGCCGTTATCCATGCTGCTGCTTGCAACCAACTGGCCTCTGGTTTTGCCTTGTTTGTTATCCTGAGGAAGTATGTAAATGAAATCTGACACTGGTCTATATTTGCTAATAGCATCAATGGGATCAGCATAGTCCTCCCGATCAATGTCATCAAAAGACTTTCGCATTGGTCGTTTTGTCATCTCCCTTGAAATGCGCATTTCTTCCACTTTTCTGTTTAGTTCAACTGGATCTGGCTTCGGCATTAGCTTTGGTTTTGTAGGTACAACAGGGCCAACTGTGTAGCCTTTTGCAGCTGCATCTTCATAACCAATTCTAGGCGAGCTGAAAGCAGGAAAATTGCTAAAAAGCTGATCTTTGCTCAGGTGAGGCATAGACTGGGATTCAGTAAAATTTCCATGTGATCTTTCACTGATTGCAGGGGCTGTCTCACTATCATCTGCCAATCCGAATGTGCTTGAGCTCACACTCGTCAAATCAAAAGAAGATGAACCCACTGGCTCTCCTTCGCTCATGTCCCACAGGGTCATTGACTCTTCAATCTGTGACTTTCGACTGTAGACAGAGCTAAAGAACTGCTTAAACATTTCTGTCTGGTTTTGGAAGTGGGAAACCGTTTCAAATTTGGCTGTTATGTCTCCAGCAATTTCATCCCCTTCCATCACCAGCTCCTTGGTGACATCATCCAAAAAGTCTAAATCTGTATTTGTGATAGCCAGTATGTATATGGGTATCACATCGGGAACATTTGAAAGGAATGCCCTCAGCATGGCTAAAGAGGCTTTTCTATTCGCAGAGTAAACAAGAATGTGCCCATGAACCAATTCCTCTCTTCGTAGGAAGGCTGAGTGGTAAGATATTGCAGTCACCTCCACACGCCTTCTCTGTGACCCCAAACTCAAATCCAACAGCATGGTGTGATTTTCTCCACTCTTTCCTATGCTGCAAAATGGTGAATCCAGGAAAGGTGCTAGGACACAAGCTGGATCGATGGCATCACCACACATGACGCACATGACAACTTTGAGATCAACCTCGGACATATCTTTAATGCTTGGAGATGGATTTATCACAGAAGGCCGCACTGTCCTTGCTTCAAGAAACTCGCCAAGTGCTTTCTTTATGTTTTGTGCATGGAATTTGCAGTTGTAGGCATTTCCTTCTGTCGGGCTGTCAACAAATGGGCACTGCAGCTTATTTGCTAGCTCTTTCCCTTGTATCTTCAATGTTTTTTGCATGACACTGGATTGCTTCTTTTCGTTTGCCATGAGCAATACTACGGGTAGGTTTGAGTTTTCTTTTCTGCTGGTGTATTGCGATCGTAAGCAGTCTTCAATGTAATGCATTGTGTCAAATGAGTTGAACACACACAAACATCCATGTGGTTTGAACCCATCGGTCTTCAGCGAGTTCAATGCTTTTTTCATGTCCCCTTCAACCATCTTCAATCTTAACTCGTATGTCTTGTCATCCAAAACATATTCATCCTCTTTCAACTGCCCCTTTATTTCATCAGCAAGCTCACCTGCCAATTTACCTTTTCCTAGGAGCACAATATTCAATCGATCCATGCCTCCGCTGTCTGAAATGCAACAAGACTTGGGCCGGCTGAGAGGCTGTGGTGGCCTTTTAGCTAGCAGCTCCTGAATTTGAATATCCATGCAGATTTGGCCACAAGGACATGTTTCAATTGTTGGATGATACACAAATCCAATACGTTTGTACAGCAAGGCTTGTCTCTCCGCCTGCAACTTCTGTAGCGCTTTATACCTTGCCTCCTCTTTTATCTCATTATTTATTGCGGCCATTTTCTCATGGCTAGGTGTTGCATTGACATCAAGGTCGACAAACAAATCTGAATGCTCCATAAGCATCTCCAGAAAGTCGTCTTTTGCCTTTTCTGTTATTTCTTGCTGATGTTTTGCATAGATCTCTATTTTGTCTATTTCAGACAAATGCTGGTATGGTTCCTCATCTTTCAGCAGCCCACTCACTTCTTCCCAAGGTTTTCCAGGCTCGACAATGTAGCTCTTTCCAAGAATCGTTTTAAATTGAACTTTCATTTCTGCCTTCCACCTCAGCGCTTGAAGTTTTTTAACATGATCATTGAAAACTGTTTCTGCCTCTTTCTCCTGCAGGAAGTCATATGGTATCCTTAGGTCCTCTTGGCTCTCAATGTGCTTGCTATCTTCCCATCGCTCACTTAGCACAATGAAGTACGTTCCAAAGTCCAACTTCTTTTCTTTCACAAGGATCTGTACTTCATCCCAAGTCAGGTGTTCAATTTCTTCCAGAGCAGGAACAAGGATCTCCAAATCTCTAGACAGATTAGCGAGGTATTCTGCCTTTTTTCGCAAAACAAAATTATCTTTAAGCCTTACAAGATGTTTTTTGAAGAGGTCTTTTGCATTCTTGCAACCCTTGAGATTGATGTAATTTTGGTAATCCTTTACATCACACATCCTCCTTGACTCAAAAAGCCATTGAGCATGAAAGTCATTCACACATCGAACAAGCAGCTGTTTGAATTTTTCTGTGGCAGCATCAACAATCTCCTTTTGCTGACGTGCAGCATCTGCATAGGGAATGATCTTGGGCTTCACTCTTGACTTGTCAATTATTTGTGCCAGTGCAATGAAAGCCAGCTCCACGTTGACATTCTCACTCGCCGATGTTTCAATCAAAGGAATGCTGATCTTTCCCTTGGTTAGAAATGCCTGCAGTTCCCGGACACAATGATCATGCATGATGTCACACTTAGTGGCAACCAACAGAATTGGTTTCTTTGTCTTAGCTATCTGCTTGTACAAACTGCTAAGAAATTCCAGCTGATTATCTATTGGTCTGTTCTGCACTTGGCTCACATCGCAGCAAAGCAAGAAACCATCAATGTTGAGTTTCCCATCTGGCATTTGCTTTTGTTCAAAATCTTGCTCTATTCCAAGCTGGTCAGTGCAGATGTACATTAACTTTTCTGCTGAACTTAGCTTTGTCGCTGCTGCACGTTTGACATATGGTTGCAAGTTGGTACTTCGATGAGGCTGGAAAGTGGCATCGTCAATGAATTCGGTCTGTTCCACGACACGAAATGAATATTCCCACCCTTCATCTAACTTTTTAACTTCTCCCCAATAGAGAAAGTGGTCATTATTGACAACACGACCACCAAAATCGCTTTGACTAATTAACGATGTGTGCACATCATAGAAGTCATCTTCCTTTGATCGAACAAAACGGTTGCATAAGCACGACTTTCCAACTCCGGCAGATCCCTTTTCTTTTTCTGTACCCGAAAGGCCAACAACACTAATGTTGAATACCCGAGTGTCTTTGTGTTTAGCCATAATCGTTATCCCATTATCTTGATGGGAAAAGAGGTGCTGGATGATGTAGCTTGTTCCATGTATAATGAAAGATCGTTGAGCTGCAATATGGAAGTAGTGTTTTTCCTCCTAAGTGCATGAAATAAAAGGTTTTCTTTGATACTGCAGATGAGACTCCATCCAGGGATTACATGTGTCCTGGTTGATAACCTGCAGAAACATCAATGAATAAATTAGTCTCATTACAATTTACATTTGACATTGTAAGGAAAGTAAGAATATAACAATTAAAAACCTTACAATTGTAATATTAGTAGTCTGCATTTTGGCTCATGCAGTGTATTGAATGATGCGTACATTTCTCATTATTTCTCACATCTTTTGAGAAGATTACTTAACACATCCTCGAATTGTTAGAACAGTAATACACATATAATACAATGAGTGGCTTTATTTTCCTTAATAGTTACCTGTTCCTTTGCAGCAAAGCCGCAATTGACACATTTGGCAAACATGCTGCACAATTTTAGCAACTTGTTGGAATTAACCAAATCCACAGAAAGGGCATGTATTACGATCATTTGTATTAGTATCTAGGCACACCGTGACATTAATTACAATACAGTACTTAGAAATGCAATTATTATTAAATATCCTTATGAAAATGTAAATTAGAAAGAAAGTTGAACTACTCAAAAAACAAAAAGTGCATAACCTACCATCACGTATACAAGTCGAACAAGAAGATTACATCACTACCAATGTTCTGGTACTGTATATAATTTATATAAAAGCCACTTTAACATTCAACATGTGTTGTTGTGTGTCCTTCAGACACATGCATTGCTTGCTATAGCAAAAATTCGCCTGGGTCTATAAATTGTAGTATGGAACTATGGCAACATATTTATGTCTATTGCTGCAAAATGATGTTGAAATCTTATGTACAGCTTGCACCTTTTTTTCGTTTGTGATAAAATAGCTTTATGTATCAGTAATATTAAAATAAGCATGTCCAACAGAAAAAAAATGTCATATAGTCACGAAATACTTTACTTTACTCGTAACACTATCCACACGTTATGAACCACTTTCACAGCTAATTTGCTACGTTTATTTCCTTTGGAAATAATCGTAATTAATATAATCTACACAAAGTACCATGCACAAATAACTATGTTTATACTGCATAAGCCTAATCATGAATCAGAGTACTAAAAGTGATTATGTTGACCAACACAGAAAGTTGCTGAGTATTCTTTATAATGTGGGTTGTGAAACTTGTACATCTTGAGGCAGGAATGAGCAAGCATTAGCAGCACATGGCCCATCAGTCTGCACGATGAGTATAAAAATGACGAAATGTATGTACATTTACATATGCGTTCTTTTTATGTACTCTGTGACAAAGAGTGCCTGAATGAAACTGAAAATTGCTTAATTCTTTACTACCCAGATTTGATATATATTTTTACAGTTTGTGTTAGTTCTAAGTCATTAATCGTACTTGTGAGATCAATGCCAAAATATGTGGTACCAGATCAACAAGTTTTACAGCATGCACGACGTCGCCAATACTGGTACTGTAAATAACTGGAAATGCACATTTCAAAAGCTGCAAACGGCATATAAAAATTGCTTGAGGTCATATATTTTAAGTCATGTAAAACAATACAACACTGTATATCAAAATAGTATTGTTCTACAACTTAAAATAAAATATTCGAAAACCAACATTTCACTACAAACTCAAATCTCAATCATGGCAAGATCATTGAACGAACCACCACAAACATGACTTGTTATGTCCATCAACATGGTTAAATAGGAAATTGCTAAATGTCAAATTGTTTTTACATTTAAATGATCACACACTGGATATTAATATTGACCACATTTTGTAATCAGCAAACGCTCTTGTGAGCCTACGTGAGCCTGCAGATTCCTTCTTAGACAACGTCAAGGCAACACACAAGATCAACGATACCCAAACGCACTACAATAATGTAAACCATGCAGGGCACAACGCATCCCTTATGATAGGGCACAATCTGGAAAGGAGTGTATACCGTGTGGACAATACTTTCCACAGCGTCGAACAGACCGTAATTAAACCATCAACGACAGCACCACGGAAACCAAACACTTAAATTGGTACGCCACGTGAATCAGGTATCCTAATTATCGTTTGATTAACTTTAAAACGCTCCACCCCACCCCCAAAGGAACGCACGCACTGGCTGTAAAAATTCCTCGGCCTCAAAATGAAAGATTGTCTGAACTTGGGCCCTTTTCACAGTACAACGTGGTCAACACACACGCGCGCGCACACATTCTACGATCTCTGTATCTTAAGCGCTCCAAATAAACTTTGGTCTTGTAGTATATACTACGATAGAACCGCAAAAAAAGTCGCTCATTAATACAACACGGTGAGTTTAATACTCAAGCAAATAGTGCCATGACATAATACGTACCAAGGTGTCATAACACTGTACTGTATTATCGTGACAGCATTGCGTCAAGAGTACGAATACAGTAATTGGTGTTTATTAGACATGAAATAGTATCATGACAGTAGTGCGATATTTCAGTGATAGTAGTAGAAGTACTTGTGCTAGTTATGCTGGAGCATAACAGCATTACAGATAGTAAATTAGTATAGATTTGTTTCAGTATGACATTATTCAAGTAATTTTAACAGTGTATTATAGTGTCAGTAATAGCGTGTTAATATAGTACTATACTGTACTTGAGTCATGACCTAGTTTAAGTGTGATAGTAACGAATATAGTAACGATAGTGCCGTGCAAATAATTTGGTGGTGCATGGTGTGTGTTAAATACAGTATAACATGATAGTGTCACAGTGTGATGGTGCAATGTTGTCATAGTAGCAGTGTAATGCTTTTGCAATTATATTATCGTTGGATTCTCGACTATTGGGATCACAGTGCAATGTTTTTTTTCTATATAGTGTGACAGTATGTGTACTCCTGTGACAGTACAATGTGACAGCATGATCATACTATTTACTGTAATTATACTGTGGTTCTGAGTGTGATTCTACCGTGGTCTATACCATAGAAGTGCAAAGTGACACTGTTATAGTGATTCTATGGAGTGATGTATGGTAATGTATGGTACAATATGATAAGTGGTTTTCTGTAATAGTAGAGTAGTGTCATGGTAATTTAGTAATGGATTGCGATTCGTATTGTGGGTTCATAATATGATACTATTATAAATTATCTGAATGTGTGATTAGGTTTTGGTGCGATGGTATTCGAAGTCTTAGCATTGTATTTGGGAGTTACAATGTAAAGACATCGCATGATAAGTTATGGTAATAGAGCAAGATATTGTTACGTATTGTGATAGTACTGTGTGATGCTATCTGATGGTGTAGAGAATGTACTGTATTTGTTACATTAATACTGCGGTATTAGTGACGGTAGTCACGGAATCATGGGATATTGCAGTATCACGGTATAGTGTGATGTTGTGGTGCGATGTAGGGTCAGGGTATAATGCGATAAAGTTTAATGACAGTGTAATAGTATATTAGTGTAATAGTACTTTGGAAGCAAAGTGTGATGGTTTCGTGATTTAATCGTGTGACACTACCTTAGTTTTGCAGTAACGTAAATGGGATGGCTTTTGTAATAAAGTGATGTTAATTGTGATAATGTAATTGTGGTATTGTGATGTAACATTGTCATGGTATTAAGGCATTCTACAGGGTGGGCCAGATGTATTGTGATCCCCATTTTATTCGATAAAACTTTATATTTTTTCAAGGACGGTTTATTCATAACAAAAAATGAATACGGAAAGTGAAAAAATGTTAGGGGTCAATTAAGTGGGGGTCACAAGACACCTGGACCACCCTGTCCGTGTAATCGTAGTGTTATTTGACCAATGTTAAATGTATTATGGTAAAGTAATCTATCATGGCACTGAATTGTTAAAGGGTGACAATATTCGCCTGTTGGTGTGAAAGTGTACCGAGCACGATGGTGTTAGTGTAGTAATTGTCAGTGTTATGGAATTGATACTATAACTGTGGTGTGAAAATGTGATGGTATCATGGTGTTCTCTCGTGTTATGGTATTATAGTGAGAGAGTAATTAATACTACAGGGTAAATGTGTCGTACAGTGTGGTGGTAAGGTAATAGCGTGATGACACCGGTGTAAAAAGTGTTAATATGAGGGTGTACCGTGGCGTTCATTCAATGATATTGTCATGTCAGTGTGGTAGCACTGTGGAGTGTGATCACAGTGTGACTATACAATGGTGTTGTAGTGTGATGTTATAGTACTACAAAGCCATGTTAATGTGTGGCAGAACTACAGTGCGCGAAAGTGCAGCGATAAAATGTGATGTATCAAGACATTCTAATGCCGTGTGGAACGGAGGGCCTAGTTGTTCAATTCCTGGCCACTTAACATCGGTGGCGAGTGGCACGTGAACCGGTCCTGTACCCTGCTCGCCCACCTTCACCAACCCGCAATAGTCAACAACTATTTTCTATTTTACCTGGGTAATGCCCAGAAGCGGTCTGGCCACAAATTATAGCTAAACTTAGTGGCTTATCATGTGGACATTTATAGCAGCCAAATAGTCTAAAACGCATGTTTCTAACCAACCATTATGACAACATTGTGCAGCATAGGACTTTAAAAGCATTGTAAACTATAGTTTATTATTAGTGCGATAGTATTGTTATGGGGCCTGAAGGGACTGTCGTGTTAAGAGTGTTGTGGATGAGGTATTGTGATGTTATCGTGAAACTTCACTGGTCTTCAGTTTTTACCTGGTAAAACAAAATGAGCTGTGAACTTGATTTGGGCCTGTAGAGTCAGTGAATGTACTGTGGTGTTAAAAGTGTGTCGGTATTCTGATGTTCTGGTTTTCTAGTGAGCGCAAATCGAACTTGGGTCGCTCTCCACCCTCCCCCATTGGTCGACTCCGCCTCAAATGAGTACTGTACCTGGTGCTTGCTAACAGCTCTTGCCCCAACAATCTGTTAAGGCTATAACGAGGAATGTTTGTCTTTGGTATTCTAGTGCGATGGTATTTTTGATGTTATGCTGCGATGGAACTGTGCGTTACAATGTGATGGTACCGGACTGTACAATGTCACGAGATTGGTATTGAGCAGTCTGATGCTATCGTATTATCGTGTAGTCTTGCATGCTACAATGCTTAATGTTGTATATGATGTCCTGCCGTCTTGTGGCGTAATGGATCCATGCCACTTGTGATGGTACCGTGAGTGCTGATACAAATTCTATTGGAGCTCTACAATGTGGGATTGTTATTTTATAGTGCGATGTAATGCACTACGTGGGTTAAAGTATTGGTGGTACTGTATTGACGCTATAGTGTGACGGTAAAGAGTGATATGCCACTGTTGCTTTAGTATAATGCGGTCCTGTTAGTATGACTTTACTGTCGTTGCCATGTGCTGGAGTTATAGTGTAATGTTAAAGTGTATTGCCGTGGTGTGACGTGATGGCATTATGGTGATAGCACTACGCCTCTGCGATGTTACTACTTGTTGTGATGGTACTGTGATGTTGTTACATCGACTGTGCTTCCACTGGAAAACTCTGCCGCATGGACCTTTCATTAAAACCTCCAGGGCATCGCCGCAACGATAGCCATTCTCTTTAACCGAGCAAATATCACAACCACGCACACACACACACCCACACTTCCACAAAAAAATGCAACGTTTACACAACAGCCACTTCAATGAAGTATCAAGTAAAACAAGAAGGAACGAGACTGCACGTGAACGCCAAAGGCTTCGACAGCGAGGAGACCGGGAGGGGGAGAAGACGAGGGGCGGACGAGAGAGACACCGCCACCACCACCACCGCTGTGCCACCACCACCACCACCGCCGTGACCACCACCACCACCACCACCGCCGTGACCACCACCAACCACCACCGCCGTGACCACCACCACCGTGACCACCACCAACCACCACCGTGACCACCACCAACCACCACCGCCGTGACCACCACCAACCACCACCGTGACCACCACCACCGTGACCACCACCAACCACCACCGTGACCACCACCACCGTGACCACCACCAACCACCGCCACCAACCACCACCGCCGTGACCACCACCACCACCGCCACCACCACCACCGTGACCACCACCACCACTACCGTGACCACCACCACTACCGTGACCACCACCACCAACACAACCACCACTGACCACCACCAACACAACCACCGCCACCGCCTCCGTGACCGCCACCGCCTCCGCGCAAACTTTTTATCTCAACACTCAACAGCTCCGGCGACGACTAAACTACGCGAGCGCCATCGCCGAGCCAACCACACGCCTCTCGACTCGTCGCCTCCATCAACAATTGTGTCTTTAAAGCATCTATATTTACCGTGGATGAGGATGAGGAGGAGGATGACGACGACGAGGGGTGAGGAGGCGGCGGTGGTGGTGGAGGAGTTCGCGGGGCGAGGCCACTAGCAGAGAGAAGCGGGCCCGGACGCTCAGCCGAGCACCGACTTATAATTAATACGACTACTTCAGCTCATTATTATTATTACCTCGGCACAGCGACGGGAGACGTCGGCGAGACGCAGCTGACGGCGAGTTTAGGTGACTTGAGCGGAAACAAAAAAGAAGACTTTAAAAGTTGCAAAAGGCGCCCTTGGCTCGCCTCCCCTCAGCGCCTTCTTCGTCGTCGCCAGAGCGGCCGCCGAGCTTAGGGGCGGGGCCAAAGTGAAGGGGGAGGAGTCGAGAAGGGGGCGGGGCGAGGCGGGGGGGAGGGGCGGGGCGAGGCGGGGGGGGAGGGGCAGTGAAAAGGGGGAGGGGAGCACCCCAATCCCCCCCCCACCCGCACGAAACAAAATGGGCGGGGCAATAGGGAGGCGGGGCCGGAAATAAGGCGGGGCTCTTGCGCGCTCGCGCACGCGCACTTCTCGGCGGCGGCGTCGTCGTCGCGCGCCGGCCCCTCCCCACACGCCGACAAAATGGCGGGAGAAGTTCGCGCCACACTGCGCATGCGCGAGGTTAAGCTCCTCCCTCCCCCCTCGCTTTCTTGCCCCCCCCACCCACCGAAAGCCTCGCCCCACCCCCCCCACATCCTCCACGACTCCGCCCCTCAACTGGTGGCCTCACCAAAGCCAAGTTTTTCATTTATGTCAAGTTTTTCATTCATTTGGTATAGCCCTGTGAGCCATGCGGCTCTTAAGTCGGGTGCAACCGCAAACAAAATATGAACATCTTCTTGGTTCTTTCGGTAAAGTCAAGAAGATGAATCCCTGCAGAAACATCCTGGATAAACCAGCAAATCTTAAAAAATAAACGCTGTGTGCAAAGATCCCAGTGTGATGCAAGTCAAACAACCATAACACAATTTAGATTACCCATGTTTTTAAAATCAACAAAATAATTCAATAAAACAACAGTAATCATAAGTAATTATTTAAATTGAACAATAAACGACATATAACATGCAATTGCATCAAATTCTGACTTAAATCAATCAAACATTCAATTAAACAAGTCACATGTCTATCAACCATTCTCTGTTAATGCCTCAAACAGCTGAACTTTCATAACCTCTGATATTTCCTTACTTATTCTCCCATCTAAATCACAGTTTGATGCCGAGCTGTCGATTATTTTGTAACTTCACTTACATCCTGTTTGTTTACATATCACTGCAATAGTGATCCTAGCCCTGTTTAATATTTCTGTAACTTAATTGTACTTGTGCTGTGATCAGTAAAAAAAAGAATCTGCCCAAGTCGACTTATGCCACAGGGACTTTAATAGTTAACATTGATTTATATTTGTGCTGATTTCATAGGGTTCCTCTCGTCAATGAAACTCCTATGCAGATCTCTAGAGTTCTTACCTGTGTCATGGGACCGTAAACGGGGTTCGCTGCTGGGCTCTGGACCAATCACACGGCCCGGGGTGTTGGGGGGCGGAGCCCAGTATGGGGGCGTGTGGGAGGGGCCGCCGTTCACCTCGGGTCCAATCGGAAGCGAGGTGAATGGGGGTGGAGCCAGCAGGGCCTATGGGAAGGCCGGATCTGACGGTCCGGAAGGGGCGGAGACAGGATCACGTGGTAAAGGGGTTATAGGTGGGATCCCGGAAGGGCTCCAGGTCAGTTGTTGGAGTGAAGAAGCTGGACCACGTTGGATGGCTGGAGGGGATCCGCGCCATCAGCCACGTGGCTGGAGGAGCTTCGGCACACCGTCGGCCAGCGGTGTGCGGAGTGGGGGAGCGGAAGGACTGACGAGGGAGCACGTGCGGGGCGCGCGTGAGGAGACGCTGGTCCGCTGTCAGGACCAGCGGGGTGCGAGCAAGAAGCTAAATAAAGAGCAACGGAGACCAGCAGTGTGTGACGAAGTCCTTTATTACACCTGGTTAAATTTCGATTTAAAGCTTTCGTGACTGCAGGGATTCATCTTCTTGGTTTTTTCGGTAAAGTCATGCATGGGCATAATATGACTTTGAAACCCCCCCGCCCACCTCCTACGCATTTCCCATGAATATGCTAAATTCCTCTTGATATGCGCATTCTTTTGTTAAGGCGCTCTTCTTCCACCTCCAACTCAGCTTATATATAAGCTCCTAGCTTGGCAGTGCCTCATTCTTCACCTGAAGACGGCTGCTTGCGTTGTAGCCGAAACGTTGTGAGAATTATTTTATTATGCTTTATTTTTATTATTTTATTACTTCCCTTCTACGTGACTTTACCGAAAAAACCAAGAAGATACACCTGGTTAGACAAAAACTTACAATTTTAAACGAGGGATTGACATAAAAGATCAGAATCAGAATATTTATCCTGGAGAAATCCGATGAGCTATTAAGCTCTTTTTCACAGATGTCCAGGAGGTGTGATCATATGGCCAGGAGGATTAGACTTTAGGCGGGCCGTGATGGATTATGTTTAAACCCGATATACATTTTCACATGAGTGCATTTCAGAAATGCAAGTTTGCAATCGCTATGTCCAACACCAACTTGAGGTGGCATTGTAAAGTCACTGAAAGGGGTTGAGCTCAGCATTGAACATTTGTGTTAACAATCTTGATTTGAAGCTTTCGTGACTGCAGGAATTCATACTCTTTAGTTATTTCGGTAAAGTCACGTAGGTAGAAAACATAATAGATCACGACGTTCGATCGCCACACAAGCAACCGTCTTCAGGTGATATTGGTTGCTTGTGTGGCGATCGAAACGTGATCTATTATTTTTTCTACCTTCGTGACTTTACCGAAAGAACGAAAGAGTATTTGTTTTAACCTTTAAACAAAGGCACGCTATGTGTTTGGGATCATTCTAGAACTGATACATTTCCTGGACAAGTTGCATGAAACACCCCATAAGTGAAAAGGCCCCTGAATTCACACTAATATATACTGGAAAGTAAGGGGAATTTCTAAATAATCTCAACTCGCAAAAGCCATCTATCCAGTTCACCATGGGAGTGGAAGCTGACAGAATTCTATACCATTTCTGGGGTCAAAATGGTAAAATAACACACGATTACCAAAAGAAAACGCATACTGAAGCCTATCTGAATGCAGTCACACCATCACCCCGCACAGAAATCTGCTCTTATCAAGACGCTCATTCGTCGAGCTTAGAAAGTGTCAGATGGTGACAGTCTGAGAAGTGAAATTCCACATGTTAAAGAAGAGCTGCATTCTAGGACTGATACATGATGCACAAATCAACAGGGCATTGAATGCCAAAACAAAATCAAATAACACGAGCGTTGAAACTGCCCAAGTAATTAAAATGATCAAAATACCGCACATTGCGGGAGTAACTGTTTAACTAACCAGATGTTTGGAAAAACAAAACACCCGAGTCAAATTTGGCAGGGTACATACAATACAGAAATTAATATCTGGTACAAAAGATGTATTACCAAAGCTATCAACAGAAGGTGTGTACAGGATTAACTGCATGTGTGGTAAATGTTATGTTGAGCAAACAGGACGAATCATCAGCACGAGACTTAAAGAACATCAGAGAAATATTAAATTTTCCCAAATACATCTGTCAGCAGTAGCAGAACACGCGTGCAACAAGGCCACTCAATTAATTTTGATAATGTTGAAGTTTTGTTAAAAACTAGCTACTACTGGCCAAGACTAATCAGAGAATCTATCGAAATTGAAAGAAATAAAAATTATTTTAACCATTCAGATAGCTACCGCCTTGGTCACCACATCTACGCCTCGATATAAGGAACGAAACAGGTGGACTTCTCCACAAATCTGGCTGTCGCCTGATGAAGCTAGTTGTAATTACTGGCGAAACGTCGTACTCAGATTGTAAATGTTGTGGCTTGGCTCTCCAACACACCGGTGTGCTGTACTAGTGACGAATTGGCCACGTTCTGTTTACATGACAACCCTTACTAGTTGGCTGTGTTGGGTGGTGGTGGGTTTTAACGACACATTTATATATTTACGCGCTCTAAACCCCAAAAAACCCCTCTATTATGGATAAACTAAGGGGAGTTTTCTCATTAGTCGCTTTATGCTATTGACCCCTGGGTTATTGCATACCCCTATCAGTGCGTACCTTATTACAGACCAATTCAGACCTTATTGGTCACCCCGTACCTTTATAAATCTCAACGTTCATCCGATAAAATCCCATCACAAATAAACCAAAAAGTTTTGCCCGTATTGAAATGGCTGTATACCGTTTGGACCTGAAAACTCAATTTCCCTGTACAAAAATACGGGTAAACCGTATGGTTTGACAATAATGTTATTGTAACTAATCGACAAAGTCCAAGCCCTTCATCCAGCAGTGGATTGACAACCGCCGTGTATTATTACCACACGTGAACAGGTATACACTTTCTAAGCAGGGGTGCGTAACACACAGCAGACAGCACCGGAACTAGGGTAAGGGTATAGCAAATAAGACACCATGATATCGACCCAGCTTAAATAGACGCTCCAAGCCTGGGGTTGTTTCATTTAGACTCTGTCTTCTCGACAGACCTATTCTTCACCTGAGGACGGCTGCTTGCGTTGTGGCCGAAACGTCGTGAGAATTATTTTATTATGTTTTATTTTTATTATTTTATTATTTCCATTCTACGTGACTTTACCGAAAGAACCAAGAAGAAGACACCATGAGTTTTTGGACAAGTCGGGTTGTATGAGGATGCATGCACAGACAGCAGAAATGAGGCAGGTCAAAAGCAGAGCATCTGTGATGATGGGACATTGTGGCTCAAGAGATAGAGAGCTGGGCTGGTAGCGCTGATAACCTGGGATTTAACAAGGATTTCAGCCACGCATAATTAAACCAGGAAACCGACCATGGTATAGTGAGTTGATGGTCATGGCCTCGTCACAAACAACTACTGTAAATTAAAAAAACACGTAGCATTTAATATTGGTTTGTGCCTAAATTCAAACACTGACAAAGTCAACACAAATATTGGTTTGATTGCTATGTGAAAAATGTCTCTCTGCAGCAGGGCAATTGGGGAAATACACATCCTAGTATTAATTCTAGATTTGAAGCTTTCGTGACTGCAAGGATTCATACTCTTAGGTTTTTTCGGCAAAGTCACGTAGGTAAAAAATAATAATAATGAAATAAAATAATAATAAATTAAATTTGTATTATTATTATTTTTACCTACGTGACTTTACCGAAAAAGCCTAAGAGTATACATCCTAGTATGTGGATAAAAGGTCAGTTGAAGTGG